CGCGTTTGTTGAAAAATATGTATTTATCTCGGGATTTTTAGCCATTTAAGACATTGCTGTATTTGGAAAAGTGCTTATTTTTTGTTTATTTGTTCAGTGCAGATAGTCCTTGTCCCAGGTAACCAAATTAAGTTCCAGATGTTAACACTATTTTCCGGCCGCCATATTTTACCTATTTAGACCTGAAATCAACATTTTTGAGCTTATATGTTGCGTGAAATTTAAATTTTGCTGTTTTCTAAGTGAAATCAACAACCCTCCCGTCATGGGTTAACATGAAATCAACATTTAAACCTTTTTTGACCTAAAATCGACATTTCTGAGCTTTTACGTTGCGTGAAATTGACATTTTGCTGCTTTCTAAGAGAACTCACCATCCTTGCCGTTGCGCGTTAACATGAGTCAACATTTTAACCACTTTTGACCTGAAATCAACAAATTCGAGCCTATATAAGTTGCATGAAATTGACATTTTGCTGGTTTCTAAGTGAAATCAAAGTCCTTGCGGTCGCGGCAGGCCGATCCTTTGTTATGATAAACCAAGGTGAGACTCCGACTTATAACAAAGGCTTAGCTTGGCTATTATACCAAAGGATCGGCTCTGTTTATCATAACAAAGGCCCGGCTTCGTTTACTTGAAGGACTCGGTGGGAAAAGGGCATCAGGTATTTTAATCAAAAGTGAACTTTGTCGAAAATGCTCGAAATTTCCCATGCAGTTTTGTTCAGGTATGTTAAGCAATGTCCTGTAGTTTTCGCGCTAAAGTTCGCTTCGTTCTCGAGATATTGCGTATGCAATAAACCACTCGGTTTTTCCAACCTGTGTGCCTTTTTTGCATATGTTATTTCTCGAGAACGAAGAGCAACCCAGCGAAAAAAACTTCAGAGCAATGTTTCTCAGGCGAAACGAAGCCCACATGCCAAAATTCAGCTAGTTTTGAGCACTTTCAAAAATGGCCGAAAAATCTAAGGGACGTTCTTGCACACGGCCTTTCAACTTAAAATTAATTACCATTTGTCAAGACAGCTCCTGAATTTTACTGTAGTGTTTTACGTTGATTTTTGCTCAAAAAATTAATAATTTAAGCAGCGAACGTGACAATTTACTCTTCACAAAAACGTTTGTAACTTAATACTTTTGTTTTCCTTGCAAAAGTTTGTAACCTGAAACTCTTGTTTTCTCGAAAACACCCAAGATGTGCTTGTATTCTTTCCACAGCTGGAGATAAATGGAAGAAAATTGAATGTCGGATTAAGAAATGGAAGAGGAACGATTTGCTTTATTTAAAATGCAAATTTTCTTTTGACCAATAAACAAGAACTAATCTAATTATCAAATTGTCACAGAAACAGCACATTCTGTTGCCACCTTTGGCATTAACAATAAAACCACTTAAATTTAAAATACACACTGATATTGATTAATACAACTGAGAACATTTCAACAAGAAGTATTGAGAGTAAACAGCGCTATTTGAACAAGATTGTATCCTTCATCGGTGAATGAGTCCCATCAGAGACTGATAACATTTATGCTTTCAGTAGGTACCACGGAGTCTGCAGCAATATTTGAGCAGTTTCCTGGGTTTTTTATACAATTTGACAAGTTTTAATGCTACTTACCCAGTAGAGTTTTGGCTGTGGGTATGAACATTTTGGTCTCTTTGATAGAGACAATTAAAGGATGAAATAAACGCACTAGTGTAGTTTGGAAACAACAGATGATATTTCTTCAAGTTAGGCGTAATTCCAAAAGACATGCAGTCACAGTAGCATTTTTGTATCGTGCTAACGATGCTAGAATGCACGCGTATGACTTATTAGGTTCTACCACAAGGAAAGGCACTCAACGTTAGTGTGTGATCTTGTAAAAAATGTATCTTCCACCTGATATGTAGTTGACACTAACACTTTTTAATCTACGCATGCATTTAGAGCAAATATCGGTTTTGTTTTAAAGAGAAAAATACCACAAGGAGAGCAAGGGGCTCTCTGAAATAAATATATAGCTTTTTGAAGTGATCAAAGAGGTAACGTAGGTACATGCACCACTCATTTTACGTAGTGCTCACAAGTATCTACCCCATCCTACCCCCCTTGCTGCAAGCCTAATTAGTTAATTGAAATTAATTAATTATACAAACATTAAACTTTACACCTTATTGCCATATTGCCATAGTACCTTATTGCCATATTGCCATAGTGCCTTGTTGCCTTATTGCCATAGTGCTTTAGCAACATCAACCCCCAAACCATCCCAATAGTGCACTCTGCACTAGAAAGTAGAAGAATACATTTCAGCCAATCTTCAATTCTCTGAATGTTATTGTGAGTTTTATACTGACAAGCTGTCCATGCAGGATTTTCCCATGGTTTTCCTTAGACATTATGGGAAACTTGATACGCGGGAAAAAAAACAAATACAAAGTGAGACCAAGTGAGTGAACGCAAACTTTGTTTTCCTCACAAAAGTTTGTAACCTGTGGCTTTGATAGCTCAGTTGGTGGAGCGTTGCACCGATAACACAAAGGTCATGGGTTCGAATCACGTTCAGAGCCTGAAATTTTTTCAGGTCATTTTTCCAGTAGTGTTATGGCTGCATTCACGTCTTTCATTCTTTCAGTATTTAATTGCTACTGTTGGACATCTATTACCATAGGGGTATTAATGTTTGTGCATTTTTCAATTTTCATCTGTAAAATAATACCTGACTTAATGTAAAGGTCCCCTTTCTGGTGCTAGTATCGATTTTTCACCCGATTGACTTTACTTTTAAGCCATTTGAATTTGCAAGCAACATTTTGGTGAAGGGTCTACACTGAAATACCAAAATGTATAAAATGTCTCTTATTTTAAATTTGTAACAACAACAAAATTTTGTCCCACCAGACTGGCTCTTTGTCAGTTCAAAACTTGTCCTTGGCCGGACAAATGACCTGCCTATAGACAAAAACGATTTGCAGGCTTGTTATTACAACATGGGGTATTCTTATTTGGTAACCCATCCAAGAATAAACCCCGCTGAACAGGGCTTAACTTTGTTGAGCAGACGAGATGCTGGGCTGTCCTTGTGGTACTATGACTCTACATTGGATAATTGTTTTTCTCTCAAGAGGTAACAAAGAAAGAAAAAAGATGACTGACATCGCCTGGGAAAATTAAAACTTCAAGTCAGTGGCATCAAAATTGTCACTGTTTCTGGACGATCCATTTTCAAAGTTGAGTGATTCAGCCACTTTGATTAATCATGTCAAGACACTGTGTTTGGTTTCTGTCCAATGTGCCTGGGGATTGATCTGGTACATTCTCAACAGACACTGATCTGACCTTGAAAATTATTGTCCATCTCTGAGGCTTGAGTCGATTTGCATGTCGAATTTGTGTTTTGAAGATTGGATGTGTTTGTTAGCGAGCTCAAATTTATCGGATAAAGTACAATACTCACTCCTACACTCCAGACTCGAATCCTCTATCCATATTAACCAGTTGCGTATCAAACATCTGCACATTAGCAAAACAAAGATGGACAATTGCAAAATGACATTGTTTTCATTTAGTTGGTTCCCAGTGCACTTCAGTTCGAAGGGATAAATCTTAACATCCTCTAATCCTCTCATCCTCAGTTTCTTTGTGCCAACATAAAGAGCTGGCACACGACTTCATCACTTAATAAAACACATTGATATTAACATTACCAGTAACGTACCTGAAATTTTTCTGTAATGTTCAGAGGAATAACACCTTTCTTCCAAACAGGTCCTTGGTCACCTATGAGCTGCCACAAAGGTTCACCATTTTTCTGTGTGTAGACAATCAGTTCTCCAACAAAAGTTCCACCCATGTAATAGTAAAACTTAAGACAATGAGCAGATCCAGACGAAATAACAGGACTTAGTAAGCGTGCCTTTTGTCCTTGGGTGATATCAAAAAATTTAAAGGGAATATTCAGATAGAAACCTATAAATGAAAATAAAAGCAAGGAAATTGATCAAAACCAGAAAACAAAATCAATAAAAATCACACTAGGGATAAATCAAAAATTTACTTAATGCAGAACAAAATGTTTCCAACTCCATTCACTTCACTAGAAACAACACCCCACTGGAGAAGCCAGCAATCCTAGACAAAAAAGTTGGGACCGCAAGCAAGTTCTGCCCTCCCCCAACTTACAATGTTGATAATCGGGTGATTTTTACCCCTTTTTGTTAGAAAAAATGCAAAATTTTCCAACATTGATTAGGGGGGATGGGGGATATGTGATCTAGCTCAAGTCCCAACCAATTTTGGCCACGATTGAGGCTGCTAGAGACTGGGGGCTGTCTCATTCTCTGAGTTGGCAAATGCTTTCTTTGAAAGGGCTTTCTTACAATGTAGGTAGCTCCAAGGAGCCTTTGATTATAATGCTTAAAGGAGGAGGTCACTCCAAAAAACATATATTTTTTGTCAATGCCAGTAACAACCTCACACTAAGTTTAGCCACTCACTGAAGTTTCAGCCTCTAAAGTGCAGGTTTTACATATGAAATTCACCTCTGAAAAAACCCAAAATTTGACATTGTTGCTGCCATTTTGAACGGTACTCAACAGCCACGCTGCATTTTATGATGTCATTCTGTCCAAGAGATTTTGTCCAAATGGCTACTGACAAGCCTTTTAACTACCACCCTGGGTCAGAAAAACATTCAGCCATTCAAACGGCAGAGGTCAACCGTTCGAAAAAAATGCAGCCGTTCAAATGTACTCAGGAACTTCCACCCAGTTACATTTAAGTTATACTTGTTCCCCTTAAGTGAGCCATACAATGCCCTCAGCTGATGGACTAAAAGCAAGCTGTCACATTCTCATTGCCAGTTCCCACACTCTTTGCTAGGAGCCTCTGAGACCATGAGCCCCCATTTGGCAACGAAATACTACGACAACAACAATGACAACCACGAGGAAGAAGAACCGTTTGCATTTCATGACTCCAGCTTTCATACGGAAGCCTGAGAAAAACTTGCCAAGAAATTGCATGTGAGGTGATGGCCACGGTCAAAAAAAAGGGTGTGAACAAGATCAAGTTCCATGCTGTTCACTATACTAGACAAAGACGACAGAAAGCCTTGAGCAATAATTGCAATCTTTGTTAACTGCAAAACAAGATGTGGTCTTTGCAATAGAAACTAGTGAGACAATCTCAGATAGTGCATAGTGCAATAATTAATGGCTCTGATACAGTAGTCACATGGGCCCTCACCTATACCATCCTCTCCCTTTCTAGTCACCTAGGCCTTTATCCCTTGCAGAATATGAGTGCACAAAACTTGATAAGACATAATCTTAGCATTGTCTGTGTTTCATGTTTGCATTTTCTTTCAAGGTCCAAAAATAACTTACAATTACCGTTTGTCAAGACGGCTTTGAATTTTATTGTGGTGTTTTACACCAAGTTTCAGTCATTCTAAATTCAATAATATGCAGAAGTAGCAAATGTGACAATTTTACTTTTCACACCAACTTTTGTAACTTGATACCCTTGTTTCCTCGCAAATATAAAATTTGTGTTTTTTACTTACTGCTGGAGATAAATGGAATAAAGCTAGATATCTGATGAAAAATCGAAGAGGAATGATTTTGTTTTAATCTGAATGCAAACTTCCATTTCACTGATAAACAAGAAGTAATCCAATTATCAACAAGACGATCTAAGATCGTAAGTCAGGCTGTAGCTAGACATGCTACTATGAGTGTTTGATCATTTGCGGTACGCAGCAATTCTAAAAATAGCATGTACAGATGCATGTCTCACAGAAATATCATTGCTTATTTTAACTGACCGATAGATGAGAGTGAAAGCTATGGTAATCGTAGTGAAGTTGATTTGAGTTGTGACATCACCTATGTGTTTGAGCAGATTGAGGTCACTGTCTTCTTCTCTCACCCTATTCATTGCAGTTATTTCATATGTACTAATCTGCACTCCTCTGAGTTCATAATTGTCACAGAGTGAGTGTTTATAATAGTCTGGAAACACTGTACTAAGCTCTCAATGGATGGTACTTCTAGTAGTACACATGTACCTGAGGAATGGCTTCTACCATATTCGTCTCTTGCATGAGAATCAAATCTCTTGTACCTTCCATTATAGTCCAGCTGTTAAGGGACTAAATTGTTCGTTTTTTGATAAAAGCATCAAACTTGCCCGGGTTACTAACGTCTGTAAGACAAATATTTCATGATATGGAGCCATGCCAAATTTTCTTCCAGAACCATGGAATGCGCATGTCAAAAATATGGCATACAAGGCCCTTACATGNCAATCTGATTGGTGTGACATACATACATCTCTCACTCACTCACTCACCCATTGACCCGTCCATAACATACCCAACGCACCGACTTAGAGGTATTTTTTTTACAAAAAAATAACTCAATAACTCATTTCCCAAAGGTGTCCACTCATACAGGTTTAACCATACTCGATTGCCCTAAAAAACATTGAAAGTCACAAAATTGACGAGCTTTTCGAGCTTTTTGAATAATTCAAGCTGTGATTTAATGTTTTAGATGATCGACAGTCAAGAAAATTGAGAATTTGAACGTGTTCCACTGTTCTGCTGTTTATTTACACGATATTGTAAATAAATACACATGAATACAGACATGGCAAAATGAGGAACAAATAGTTGAGAAATAGAAGAGACAATGTTACACACGGCTGGGAGATCTGCAGTCTTTAATATCGCCTTGGAAAGGGAAGGGGAAAAAAAAGGAAAAAAAGTTATTACAACACAGGATATTCGTATTTGGTCACACATCCAGGTATGAATGCCACCGAACAGGGCTTAACTTTGTTGAGCAAACAAGATGCGGTGCCGTCCTTGTGGTATAGTGACTTTATGCTGAATGCATTTTTTTAATTTCTAAGATAAGATAAGGCAACAAAGAGAGAAAAAAAATCACTGATACTGGCTGGGAAAATAAAGAGTGAAAAAAAATGAGAGGAATGAAAATGAAAATTATTACTTGCTTTGGTGATTGGACAAGAAGCGGTACTTTCTTTATAATTGTCTTGGCCTCTCCAATAATAACTCGGTCTCTCAAGGATAACTCGGTCTCTCGGACCAATAACTTCATAAATGTTTTCAAGAGTGTTACATCTACTCGTTTATTCTCCTACAGTTGCATTTCACACTATTTCTGAACAATGCCAGTGGGTTTTAGCTTTATCTTTAACTTAACCTACAGATTAAAACCTCAAGTCAGTGGCATCAAAATTGTCACTGTCTACAGACGATCCATTTTCCAAGTTGAGTGGCTCATAACCACTTTGATTGTGATTCGTAACCTTTCCGTATCTGTTCCATTTCTGTTCCATTTCCGTTCGGTATCCTTTCTGTACCCGTTCCGTTCACATTCTCATACCCATTCTGTATCCATTCTACACCCATTCGCAAACGGTTTCTTCTGATCGGCACTGTAGGTATAACAAGTTTTAAGTAGTGCACACTGACATGGGTACCTAACCCCTCCGACCCCCTTGCTGCAATGCTAATTAATAAAATAATTAATTACACAAACATTGAAGTTTACACCTTAGCGTCATAGCACCACAGCGCCATAGTGCCTTTAAGCGGCGGGCAGCCCCCATAACCATCCCTATAGTGCACTCTGCACTAAAAAGGAATAAAAATGGTTTACCTTCTCCAGTTGTATTAGCCGTTGTATGGTCAGTTTTAGGTCCCTGTCTGTAGTACCGAATGTTTCGGCTTCCAAACACCCAGTCAAAATCATCATCAACATCATTTTCAAACCCACACATTCCATGCTGCTTTTCAAAGTCACAGTTTCCTTGGTTTGAAACATTACCTGCAACAACAACAACCGCAGCAATGTACTAGGCAAAAGTTCTCAAATCTTTTCCTTAAATTAATAATTACATCTAGACATAAACTTAAAACATATAACATAACTGTATGGTTTACTATAGCACCATTCATGTGTACACAGCACCTAAACCCAAGAAACTGGGGGTGATTCAAGTGAATTACCCACCTTTAACTCTCTCATTTCACATGTTTAAATTTTACACTCCAATAAGAACTTAAGCAAGTGATAAACTAGTGAGACACTCTCAGATAGTGCAGGGTGCAATTGATAGCTCTGGCATGGTAGTCCCATAAGTACTCAACCCTGCTTGGTTCACATCTGGTTTGTATCTAACTTGGTAGTCTGCTAGGGCTTTTCTCCTTAGCAGTGCGTATGTCTCAAGGTTGTATTTTCACTCATGGTCCAAAACTTACGGTCACATGACATCCTCGGTCACATGACATGACATACAAAATACCGCATGGAAACATAGTGTATAACACTAACAATGCTAGAACGCATGCATCTTACATGTTGAGTTCTACCATAAGGAAAACCACTCAACATTTGTGCGTGATTCCGTATGCAATGTATCCTCCACCTAATATAGAAGCCACGAACACTAACTAATCTACGCATGCGTTTAGACCAAATTGGTTTCGTTCTAAAGAGAATGGCACCACAAGGAGAGCAAGGGGTTACCTGTAACAAATAAATAGCTTTGAGATGTTCACACTCAACTGACGGCGATGGAACATGTTTTATGTAGAGTTCACGTGTACCTTTCCCACCCCACCCCCACCACTTCCCTGCCGCTAGACTAATTAATTAATTGAAATTAATTAATTAAACAAACATTAAAGTTTACACCTTTGCGCCACAGTGCCATAGTGCCAGGCAGCCCCCAAAACCATCCCAATAGTGCACTCTGCACCAAAAAGATGTCCGCAACTCAAAAGAAACCATCGAAAACTATGTATATCACTATATCACTGGAATGCTAAAAATACAAAGAAATAATGGCTACTTTACACAGTCCCACAATCAAGATTTACTGATGTAAAGGATCACAAGGCCATTTACCACAATCAATCAAGTGACTTTTACTATCATTTTTCACCTGCAGAAAGGATTCACCTTCAGGTCATTGACTGAAGCATTGCAGCGGTGATGCATGAGAGAACAGCTTCCCAGCTTCATTATACAAGGAACTGTACACTCAGGAAAACAAAGACCTGTATTGGTTGAAATCATGTCACTCAATCTGTTTGCCAGTACATCTTACAGTTGTAAGGAGTTTTCGAGTTTGTTATGTGTAAATGCACCAAAACAGAAAAGTGTTTGAAGCCATTTAAATCAATGATGCCAATGATGGTAGTTGCAGATTGGACATTAAGGCAAAGACTCCACAATCTAATTTGAACGTGCAAATTAATTTGTGTGGATGAAAAATGCATGGCCACAACGCCATTGGTAAGACTTGAGCTTAGTGTTAAACTCCAAAAGCAAAGAGGTGAACTAATTTTTGACTTGTTAAACGTGTAGCCTACATCAAGTGCAGTTCTTAAAATGAAAAGTGCATTTTTTTGTTGCCTGTTTCTGGTACAAGTAGAATGAAAACTTAAGAGGTGGTTTTTGAGGTTCTTGAGTACTAATGTTATGGCAAACTGGTCGTAAAGAGGCAGTGAAATGTGTAATGGAATAACAAAATTAACCATGATTGTCAAAAGTTGGGTTTGAGATCTATTTTGTGTGGGTGCTTTTTCAAATGTTTTATTTGGTTCAGACTGAAAATTTTTGTTCAAAGTACAGTGATGTTCCTTGTAACCTCACATGCTCTGTTACAATCGCCATGGTATGCAAAAAGCGAGGATTACAAGAGAATAATACATGCCAGTGTTTTCCAATCAACCCTCTCTTCACTTCTATATGAGATTTTGTGCTGGAAGTTAGTCAAATGACTTATTTTGAGGTGCTCTTAGCTATGATCTGAGCTGAGTAAATGTGCAGTGAGTGACATTTGCAGAATCTGTATCCAGCAAAGGTCAAAATTCTTTGGAATCGATGGAAAAGTAATCTGAAACATAGATCTATCAGGAGAGTAAGCCTGAACTAAAAAATGGCAATGAGAAATTTATGTTATCAGCAGGCATTGAAGCCAATTTAGCCTGCAAGCAACCTAACCTTTGAGTTATGCACGAGCAAAGAGCGATTCACCAAGCGCAAGTCTGCTCACAGAATATAAACACTATTTGAACCAGTTGCCTGTAGCACAGAGTTTGTTTAGGAGTGTTCTATGAAGTAGCATTAGGAAATACAGTAATATAATAAGTGCATTAACTGACAAAACTACAAGAAGCAACTGTAAAATGCTAAAATGCTTTCTGTGGGAACAGTTAAACTTTCCCTGGGGTATCCAGTACCACGGCATCACAGGAGGTACAAGGCGGACCTGGAACGCGAACTATTATGACATGTAACTTAGGATGCTTAGATGAAGCCTACTGTTACCACCGCAGAAGTTAAGTTTTCTATCTTTAATTGGATTTGACATCAGGTGGAAATTATGTGAAGTACTAAGTACAAACTATGTAACCCGCAAGTGAGGACATGGGTTTGGTCGTGTAGAATTTGGGCTTTGTAAACAACTGGCTGGACTTGTGGAATAAATTATGGTCAAAAAACTACAAATGCTGTTGAGTTGAAGTATCGGCAACACCTACTCTCTGCATACCACTCCAGTATGGGTGAAAGCACAAGGAAAGAAGGTCAAAGTGGATGCAATCCTGGACAATACCTCAAGCGAGTCCTTTTTGAATGATAAAGAGACTGGAGCTCTTGAGTTAAAGAAGCCCTATCAAAAAGTCAAAGCCCATGTCCTGAATAACTCTGTGGAGACTTTTCAAACCATGCTGTTGACAATTGAAGGGTTTCGTGCAAAAAGGGCGTATGTGACACTTTGGGCCGATTTTTATTTTTTGCAGGATCAAGCTAATTTTTGGCAGACTGACTTGTTTTGACATGAAAAGCAGTGTTGTATAATTGTTTTTGTTGATTTGCACTTCCTTTTCGAGAAATAACGTATGAACAAAAACTTAGTTTTCTGAGCAGCATCTTTTGGAGCGAATCCTTCCAAGGTGGATTTTGACGCAGCACAAACTTAAACGGTTACTTTAAGCAGCTTTGACAGCATGGTTTTTTTTAAATAGATGTTTTGATTTTTGAAAGAAGTAGAGAAATAGACCGGGAAAAAAAATTGACCGACCCCATATCAAACCGGTGTCACGACAAAACAAACTCACATCCGGCCAGTTCAGTGCCTTATTTGCTTGTGCTAACAAAGCAACAGTAGGAGAACTGCGTAATTATATGAATAATAAAACTAGCGGCAAATACCATGCTTCGGTGACTTCATCGTTTAGCAAAACAAAGGTTTCTTTTGTTTTTCACTCGACAAAAGACATCCAAAAGATACCCTTGGAAAACTGAGCTTCTTGCATAAGTTATTTCTCGAAAACGAAGCGCAAATCAACAAAAACAATTATGCAACGATGCTTTTCATGTCAAAACAAGTCAGTCTGCCAAAAATTAGTTCAATCCTGCAAAAAATAAAAATCTCCCCAAAATGTCACATATGCCCTTTTTGCACGAAACCCTTCAATTTAAGATTGAAAGTGTGAATGGACAGTTAATACTGGAGATTGAAACAAAAACATTCCCCTGTAGTGTGACTAGAAGCCACAAGGTTGAAGATTGGAAGAATAGTCACCAAAAGTGGCCACAACCTTGTCAAGTGTGACTTCCCATCTCCAGCAAATGAAGGATTTGTGGACTTGCTGATGTTGGTGGATAATGCCGACTTGCATTACTCTTTAGTGGATGTCCGTGGAAGGGAGGGCGAACTGGTCACTTATTTGGGTCCACTCAGTTTGATTACTATTTGAGTCTACAGAAGAGAGAGAATAGTCCAGAACAAGAACACGTACCATTCAAGCATTGCTAACAAGGAAAGCAGGGCCAATTATATACCTGTCCAGAACAAACAAGTGATTATTACTGGCCACATATCTGGAGCAATTTAAAACACATACCCTGGTGGAATTAAAATTCAGCAACTACCAGAAGCAGCTACTTATTTAAGTTATGGTCCACGTAAGAAATAGGCAAAAGAACAATAGGCCAGGCCTGGGTTGTTTAAAAGGTGGATAATGCTATCCACCAGATAAATCACTATCCAGTGGATAGTGTGGTTTGTTTTCACTTATCCACTGGATAGCGACTTATCTGATGGATAGAGTCATCCAGCTTTCGAAACCAGGACAAGTGCAATAGCCACAGTTAATTTTTTCATGCTCATTACCCTAATCAAATTAATTTCAGTAGCCCTCATTGGCTATTGAGTATTTAAGTGCAAATTTTGAATTTTGGTTGCAAAGTTACCTCACTTGCAATCCACTTAAACAAGTTTTTCTTTCGAGTATGTATCCACTGTGAGTTTAGAAACTAAATATGTGGAGCTGAAGCAGTTTGTAAGCACCAGTTCACAAGGAATTCAGGTTATTGTAAAAGCACAAGTAAAATATCAATCACGACCTCAAATGTTCAAAACAAATGTTCAGGTTTCCAAAAACCTGGCACAAAAGTGATTGAACGGAGAAACAAACCCCACGCACCTGGAGATAAAAACACTCCACCTGCGTTCTTTACTTCACCGTTTTGAGACGAAGCAAATAATTTAGCCCAGGTATGTAAAAAAACTGCAAACAGTTGAATCACCTCTTCAAGAATTCCACATTCAACTACCAAAAGTGGGATCCCATTGTATATTCCATGTATGGATTCAAGGTTTCAATCAAATGTAATTTTACAGATCGCGCAGTCTGAATATCGATTTACATTTCCTAAAGTGTATAACTGCATTTCTCCTCAGGTTAAAGATCCTGAACTCAATTCCTGTGATAAAACAACTCATGTGTTGCAAACAAAGGTAGCCATGCGCA